GGCATGCTCTCCCAAAAATGAATCATGGCACATCAAGCAAGGTCAAAATGAGTCCTTCCAAAAATCTTTATTTTGAGACCATGCATCCTGCATGCTATTGAGAACTCTAAACCTTAAAAACATATTCTCAGTTGGCTAGGAGTGCTTTTCTGATGCACTTCAGCTGTGGCAGTTGCATTCTAGTTCATGCAAACATGACTGATTTGGAAGTAATTTAAAAAAAAAAAAAAAAAAGATGGAAGTCTGTTATTTAATGAATGGGTAAAATTGAACATGGTGATCTAATCATTCTGGAGTTGGCCTATCAGAAAAATTGCATGTAATCTGAGGTATTGTGGATAGAAAGCTTTCTCATTTCTGTGTGGTCTCAGTAATAAGAAGGCTTCATTAAAAAAGAATTCCTGAGAGGTGGAAAGTAAGAGAAAAGAACTAAACCTGAAAATCTAAAAGCTGTCTGTGAGCTGCAGTACAGTGTGTTTATGTGAAAAAAAAAATAATAATAACCCACAAAAACAAACCTGTAAAGAGGGAACTGCTAGATAAATTCAGAACTGGTTTGTAGTCACCATCCAGAGAGCACAGCTAAAAACGTTTCCATCCCAGCTGTTAAGGGCTGCTTTTCTGTGAGTTTTCTTCCCAGTAAGAACAGACTTGTTCTTGGCACAGCTTGTGTTTGCATTCAGTCTGTTATCAGAATTCAAACTTACCTGGATCAGCACTTCAATAGCTTTGGTTTTGTACTGTGTTAATATGTGTAAGGCCACTATCAAAATGAGTTTTAAATCTCATAAATGATGTGATACTGTGACCTTGGCGTTGACTTAGAAAATTATTTGGGGTGTGTGTGGAATTTTTTTACTCATGTTTTCTGTTTGTTCTTTTTTCTTCTTTCTCTTTTTCTGATGAAAATTGAGAAAGAAAACCCCATTTCTTTGTTTACTGCCAGTTTCCACAGAACATGGGTCTTTGTTTGATACTTTCATATGCTTCCTCCTTTGGGGAATTTCTGTTGGGAAAACTATTCTTCCTGATACAGCAGGGTTCTGGCAATAGGCTTCAGCACACTTTTGCTCTTAGTGTGTTAGGCCTGCTGTTCCTATGGCAAAACCTCCAAATCCTGAAAGAGAGAATGAAAACGTATGAAAAAAATCCCCTTTTTAGGCTTTATCAACTGTAATGACATGAAATAATGAATATTTTATGGTCTATAACTTCCTTTACCTAACAAAATACAAGAGGAAAGGAAAAAAGGGAACCATTTTGGATCTCCAGAAATTAGAAGGGGGATTTTCGTCTGATGCTGATTTTAAATATTTCTTCCTGTCACAAAATTAGCTATGATATCCATGCTTCAGATCTGCTTTGCACAAATTCTGCATGGAAACCTTATTGAGAGCTTTGGTAAGCTAAAACTAATGAAAAATGCAGCAGCTGGTTTGCTAATGTTAGTAACTGCAACAAATAAAAGACTATTAGTTTAATATTTGTTTCTACATTGAAATAGAAATTGTAGCATTTCTAAAGTATAGTTTTAAGGTTTTTTTATGTTAGTTTAGTACTTGCAGTGCAAGTATCTTGTGGCTTGGTGCTTCTATTTCAGATTAATGCATCCTTTTCTGATGTACTCTCCAGCATAAGAAAAACATCTTAAATTTAAATAACCTAAACTGACCCATCCTACAATAGAAGAGTATCAAATTCTGAAATAAAGATACACATTGAATATTTCTGCTGAAGTAATTAAGTGTGACTCGCAAGCAATTCAGTAATTTTCAATTCAGTGTTTGTAGCTAACCCCATAATTAGGTTTCCATTGGATTTCAGTTAATTTCCCAGTTTCCATCTTTGCTTTTTCCCATCAAGCTGAGTAGCTTTGACATTCTAAGCTGAGCAGTGAGAAGACTGCAGGCTAAGTATTTTTATAAAGGTCTTGAGAGTGAAATAGAATTCCTACTGTTGACCATCTCTTTATTGAGGTTTCTGCCCAGTGAGTAAGAATGAGTTACCTGTTACTAGGCTTTTTTTTTGTTTTGTTTCTGGTTTTGTGTTTGTTTTTTTTGTTGTTGTTGTTGATATTTGTAGGTTTTAGACTGGGTTAGTCTGTTCTTGTTCTAATGTAAAGATGAAATTTTTAAAAATTATCTAAAAATACACTTAAGATTCTCCTGTTACCTAGAATTGGCAAGGAGGCTGAATTAATTTATAGTTTTTTATTTACATTCTGTTTTTTTCTGACTGGACTGTTTTCTGGTGCTCAAATCTGTTTTGACTTCTGTATAGTCCTTGAGACAACAAAAATTAATTGGCCTGATTTTTTTTTCAAGAATACCAAACACATTGAAGGTAATGTAAGAAGGAGGAAATATCAGCGCATAACATTAACTACAGTTTGGCTAATCTGTTGCTTTTGACAAATAAACCTTGACACTTGACTGGCATATAGTAATAATTTTCAAAAATAGAGCATTATTTTACAAAAATTATATGTTCCCTTTCTTTCTATTGGAATAATGTAACTTTCTGCAGTGTTATTCTGGTAATGATGCAAGTTACTGTAATTTTTTAATTGATAGCCTAAATCTGTGGTAATCTTAGTACCTTACAAGCAGGTAGTCTTAGTAAGCTTAAAGTATCTCTTTTCTATTATCTCATTCAAGTTAAAGGCCAATTTTTATAGTTGTCTTCATTTAGTCAGTCTAGAGTTTAGTTATAAATAATATTTTTTTGTTTCCTCTTACTCTCTGGAATATGGTGCTTAAGACAGTGACAAAGACTGACTTTCAGTCTGTGTAATCACTATAGCATTCTCATTACTAGTATAAATGCCTCTTTTTCCCAGTGCTTACACAAATGTCTATGCTATGTATGAAGGATTAATTCTGCTCATTGTGCTTAGTGTGTCTACAGAGAGTAAGAATATCCTCTCATACTACTGGTCTCTGTTCTGTTGGACTCTTAATGCAGAAAAAATCATTTAGCAATAAGTAAAATTTTGTTCTCTCTTACCAGTGATTTTGTAGTCTTTCAACTTGAGAAGCAAGTCAATGCCAGTAGTGCTTCTGTAGTGTATCTCTTTAAATACCCTCTCCTTTAATCCCTTCTCATATACAGCTCGCACTGACTTCAGGGAGTGTTATATAAATTCAGAAGTTGTGAATTTGCACATATGATGAGTGGTATAGGCAACATATTTGTATCTTGTTCTTTAACTGAAGTAATGGAAATGGGAGAGCGCAGTTTATCTGAAACTGAGGGTCGTTCTCATCTCTCCTTTTTCTCCTGTTTTAAGAATTAACTCTTAGCCATGGTGGAGTCTGGAGGACATAAATAACAAAACTTATCTGTTATGTTTTCCAATTTTTATTCCACTCTTAAAGCTCCAGATTTTCAGATATTCATTTCCTGAAAATAATTATTTTATATTTTTTTTGTTTCTTGTGCATTTCATTGTTTCACCTTCCAGCAGGGAATTGTTACTACAGTTTAGTAAAGTGAGGAATCTCAGTGAGAGAAATCTTCAAAAGCAGGGCGATATCCCAACCACCTACTTTAGGATCAATATTAGATACTGTGATATTATAATGATTAAAATTTTGCTATGTGGTTACAGCAAAGTGATTTGGATAATCAAATTGCTACAAGATTCCCAGTCCTGTAACTGAAGAGGGTAAATGACTGTTAAGTGACATACAATATCAGTCCAAAAGAAACACTAGGCACAGAAATGGTGCTGTGCTCCTGTCCTTCTCTGGCAGTTGGACATTCAATGCAGGTACCTTAGATACCTTGGCTTAGTCAGGCTCAGAACCTAGGTTCATCCTCTGAGGATAGTAGCCTAAACACTTGAAATCATAGAATTACAGATTTATGGGGTATATGGTTGTCATTTTTGCCCACCATTTGCCTACTAAGTCAATGGTAATAGTATATGTCAGGAACCAGGAAGCCTTTAACCTAAAACCTGTTGATGGAGGAAGTAGTAGGAAGCCTTTAACCTAAAACCTGTTGATGGAGTTCAGACTTGCACTTCCTGTTTTCCAGATAACATACCTTAGAAGGTGAACTAAACGCTAGTTTTGATTTAGAAATCTGCTGCCCTTTTTCTTGAGGGTCATCTGCCATGCATCCTGGAATGCAAGATGTGGAGAGCTAGCAAAAGCATGCAAGAGGAAATCTGACTCTGTATAGCTGTGACAATCACCCACAGGCATGGTATATTATGCCTGTGTAGGCTTCCAGTCTGAATATTTTAATTTGGTTTTGAAAAAGCAAGAGGGTGCTTCTGTATGCCAGATTTTCTTATGAAGACTGAGTTACAGAAACCAGAATTACTCCTCCCCAAGGAAGATGTTGTCAGAGGTTTATTAAATAAGAAAAAAATTGCAAGAGAATAAAATGCTGACTATATTTCATTAATCGGAAGAAGAGCAGGTAGTCTTAGAGAACTCTATAATGCCTACATCAAAAGATAGGTTGCTTTGCTTGGTGATAGGAGCAGGTAATTTTGTGTATTAAAGCTGTGGTCTCTGCTGGTGCTTGTAATAGAAAAATAAGTAAATTTTTCTTTTGTACAAATAATAATGTTGATTAAAAAAATTCAATGACCTAAGCCTCTAAAACTCTAGTCTTCTGAGAGGGCAAGCTTTAGATCTTTTTAATTATGAGATGGCAGAAGAACAGAAGGTTATAAAATAGATGAGAAAAAGAAAATATTACTTCTTAGATGCTTTTAGTTCTAGAACTTTTCCTTAGAATGTGCAAGTATGTTCTAGTTGTAAAATCTCCAGTATCAAATCCAGATTTTAGTTTCAGGAACAAAAGTACATTGTGATTGCTATGACTTTGAAGGAATCACAGAATTACCGAGAATTACCAAATAAAATAAAGTAGTCTGCTAGTATCAGTCAGCTTGGTAAATATTGTATTGTATTCAACACATTGCTTCACAGAATTGCCTACTTGTTTTGATTATTTTTTTTTCCTTAAAAATGTATTTTCAGGTTGGATGAGTTAATTGAAACATTTCTTGAAGATAATGATCCTGATAGCACCCTGGATGTTGGTGCTGACATGCGCAAGATCAAGTATTGCTTCATTCGTGTGAAGGTATTTCTTTTAAACATTGATGGAAGTGCAGCTGACACCGAAAATAACTGTCAGACAAACATGGCTGAAAAGTGTCAAAAATAATGTAATACAGTGGAGAGGCACTTGAAAAGAGTAAGGGGAGGACTGATAGAAATTAGAAAATCAGTTGGAAAAAATCGGTGGCATTTTGTGCAAACCTCGGCAAGGATCTCAAGAAATTGTAAGAGAGCACTGGACTTTATTGGAATCAACACAGACATAGTATTTGTATATGGACAGATGGATCCATCTCATTCCCAGCACTAATGGGGGCTTCATTTTGGACAAAGTATTTTGAAAGAGATAAAAATAACAAGTAAAAACACCATATCCCTAAATCTGTTACACTAACTCTCCTGATGATGTTGAAAGCCCTTCTAAATCATCGAGCAAACAAGGTACACTTAAACAAGGAAGAACAAGTGAAATTAATAGGAAAAGAAATATAAGTTAGTATCTACTTTTCTGTATATAGTAAGGCTTTATATGGTCTTTACCTTTCATGCGATAGCTACACAGTCTCAGAGTAGAATAAGCACATAACTGGAGGTAAACTTAAAAGAATATGCTTTTTTGTTTGTTTCTCCTAATAGCAGCTAAAGATTTCTGATAAAAAACTGCTCTCACAGAACATCTCTGAAGAAACAGTTGCTAACAAAGAAGCAGAAGAAGAACTGAAAAACTTGAAAGAACTTCTGCAGCAAAGAGACAATGAAATCAGTATCCTTTGTGGGGAAAAAATAGTATTTGAGTTTGAGCTGATCTGGCTACAAAGGTTTCTGTGTGTGTGAGATAGGCATTAGCTGTGTTAAAGCAATTACGCAGTTCCCAAATCTTATGTGGCAGGACTCCTGCTTTGCACCTGCTTCTGTTTTGGTTGTAACCAAAACCAAAATCCTGGATCCAGGCACCACTTAGCTTTAGAATGGTCCAGCCAAGATCCAGATACTCTGGATCAGGCTACTCCTAAACCACTCTCCTCAAGCAAATTAAACAATTTTTTAGAATGGGTAACTCTGATACTATATAAAGACTGATTTATTACCTTACAAAGAATCGACTTTCTTGTTGGTGTTATTTTTAGATAAATGAAGTGCTACTTAAGACTAATGGACTATTGTCTTTAGAATACATACAAATTTGTATTCTTTACATGCAACTTTGAAATTTACATTAAAGCTGAAACTTCTTGCATATAAAAATACTATGCTACTCAAGCATGCTTGGTCCATTTCATTGCCTCACAGGAAATATGCCAGTAGTTGCACTCTTGCTTGATGGGTAGGAGGTTTTTTAGCAGGTTGACAGAACCGTGGGCAAACCACAGCATCACTGTGTCCTTAGTTTTGTGGCTACTTCGTGGTTAAAATTTGAATATGGCAGAAAATTGAAAAAACAGGTTTCTTTTGGTTTTCAGTTTATAGGTAGCAGAGATTCTTTCACAGGTATTATTAAAAATCAAACTTATTTGCATCCTTTTTGCTGTATCAAAAGCCTTGGAGAAGTCCAGGTAGATGATACCCGCTGCTTGCCCTGCATCAACCAAGCATGTTACTTTGTTATAGAAGGTCATCAGGTTTGTCAAGCACGATTTGCCCCTGGCAAATCCATGTTGGCTTTTCCCATTCATATGCTTCAATTGACTTGTGACTCTCCCCAGGATTATTTGCTCCGTGACTTTTCCAGGGACTGAAGTGAGATTAATGGGTCTATAATTACCTTTGAACCCTTATTATAGATGGGAGTGACATTAGCCTTCCTCCAGTCCTCAGGGCTCTCTCCCAGTCTCCATGATTTCTCAAAGATTATGAAGAGTGGCTTTGCAACAACATCAACCAGCTCTCTCAATCCCCTCTGGTGGATGGAATCCATACCCATCATTTTGTGTGGGTCAAGCTCCTGTAATAGTTGACACACCAACTCTTCCTTCACTGACAGTCTTCTTGAAAAACTCCCAGCACTCTTCTTTACCCTCCATGGAAGTTTCCCATGGGATCCCTTCCAACAGAGCCCTGAGTGAGCTGAAGTTTGCTCTTCTAAAATTGAAAATCTTTGTCCTGGAATTAACCTTCATTGTGCTCAGCAGTATCCCAAATTCCACAGTACTGTGAGCACTGCAGCCAAGTCTGTCACTAACGGAGATATTACAGAGCAGGTTTTCTTAATTAGTGAGTAGCAAGTCTAACTGTGCCCCATTTACTGGTTGGCACATCCAACATTTGTGTGAGGAAGCAGTCTTTTACACATTCCAGGAACCTGATGGATGTCAGGTGAACTGCAGTGTTGTTCCACCAGCAAATGTCTGGGTAGTTAAAGTCTCCTGTAGGGACCAGGTTTTGTTGACCCAACGTTTGCCTGAGAGACCCTGAGTATTTACACCTTGGTTTGGGGGTTGGTAACAGATGCCTGCTGTAAAGTCTCCATTGGAGATGACTTCTCTGATTTTTTCACACAATGGCAGTATGACATTAGAGTTTCTAGTTCTGTTTGCCTGTGACTGCTTTTATCAGGGTTTGACTGAATAGGATCACCAGTTGTGGCCTATGTTACTATTTAGTAAAACTGAGTCTGATGTTTGGAAAAACTACGGTGGTTGATTATAATTATGAAGAATATGCCCAACCCTAAATGCACATGCACATGTAGGCTTCCATAATATGAATTGTTCCACTTAGAAAAAGAAAGTCTTGGGGATAAACAAAAATTATCATTAGTTTATTAAAAAAAAAAAAAAAAAATAAATAAATCCTTAATTATTTCCTTAATTTATCTTGCAGTTATTCTGGTAAATATGCTAAAAGAAGAAAAAAAGAAAGCAGAAGATGCTCTTTTCCAGCTTACTGCTGCCTCTGCTGGCTCTATAGTCTCAGAAAAGCCTCTTTCTATAAAGCTGGAAAAAAGTCAAAGCCCATCTACCAGTTTTAGTCTGAAAGAGGCAAAAGATTTCAACTCTTCAGTTCACAGGCTACCTTTCTTTTCCAGACAAACAGGTTAGTGTAATTACTTAAGTTCCCAGTTATTGGATTGTTATGGTCTCATTTAAAGCATATCATTCAAATGTGTAACCAGAACAGGAAAGCTTTATTTTCAGTATCAGCTGTATTGTGCTAATTCTGTATCCATAAATGCAGGGATTTAGATTTATAGCCCTCTCAATGTGCTCATGGATTTTACAAACTGATGTGAATACGCTGTTGAACAGTCCTACAAAACCAGACTATAAATTCATTTGCAGAACCTTGAATCTTTGAGCGAGTTTTACGAAAAAAAAATAATTTAAAAAATGAGCGTAATTCCTTAAAAAACACTAGGAAACAATAGTTTTCCCTGAAAGATTTTTAAATAATGAATTTTTATTTATTTGTTTGTTTGTTTATTTATTTTTACTAGCTGCAGATATTGAGAGAATTTTTGTGCTAACATTATTAATTACACAGTATCCTTAAACACCAATAAACACTTACCCCCACACCACCACCTTTTTTTTAATCTTCCTGCCTTATATTCTGATAAAATTAAATTTTATTATTTGTGCTTCTAGTTCTGATACCAAGTTGCACACACAAAACCTTTTGTAGCTATATTTAAGATTATTTTTTTTATAGTATACATTTTAGATATCTCAACTTTATTTAGCATTTTTAATAAATCATGGTGTTTATTTCTATGGTTAAAAAAGTGAATGTGATTAATTGAACTAAGATCTTAGCTCCAGAAATTACAGCCAGGTCCCTTTTTGTGCATGTGAGTAGCTTTAGTGAAGTGGTACCTTTCTGGAGCACAACTTCAGTTAGTGTGAACAAAGTAAAAATTCTTATGCTCATGTATTTTAAAAATATGTTTACTAATTCACATAGTTTGTGAACAAGCAAGAGCTGAATTCATAAATAATGTGTTAGTTTAGGATAGTTAGCACACTTAACACCTTTTTATCATGCCCTCTTCAGCAGATGGGTACTATATGTTCGTAGATCACTTATAAAAGGTTTTTATTTCTTATAATAAAAAGCCATGTGTTGTTATTAGTACTAATTGAGCTGTTTGTTTTGTAAGATTTAATAGGTGAGGTTATCAAATACTGTTCATTGAAAAACAAATAATTATTTGGGATGAATGGTTTGCACAGGGAATCTACTACAATGATGAAATATTGTCTTAGGTTAATAAATAAGTAAATGTAATTGTTTCCCAGCGATTCATATGAGGAGTTTTAATGGGACATCTGTCTGGGATAGGAAGGTAGTACATTTGGAGATGGGACTTTTTTTGTATGATTGGATTGTCCTTTATACTATTTTCTCATTCTGAAAGTAGCTGGAACCTACTCCATTCTTTTCAGACTGTTTTTCAATCAGTTTTTGGTCAGTTTCTTATATCCTATGTCTTTCCATGTGGACATGAAAACCATAAAGTCCTCATTAGCCAACATGCTAAGTGTGAACATGAAAGTACTCCCTTAGGTTCACTTACAGTTCTTTTACTTTTCAACTTTTCAGTCATATTGTGTGAGATCTACAGATAAGTAAGAAGTTATTTTGGGATTATTTTAGGTGGCCCTATATGTCTGCATTCCTTTGTAGTGGCCTGACATTCTGCTACAAGTCTAGTCCAGTAATGTTGGACTTGCAATCTTCTGTAAAGTATAGCTGATATAGTGATAATGCCTTACAGTGCTATTTCTTAAAATGCTTGTGTTATTGTCCTCAGGGAATACTTAGAATGGCAGATGTAACAATGTAGGACAAACGCTGTTAATAATACAACATGTGCAGCCTTGCCAGCATGCCTTAAACCCAACCTTAGGAGACCAGTTCTCTTTGCAAGAATATAACTGAGTGTCCAGGCTCTTTCGTGTCTTTGTATCTCTGTAAATTACAGTATCTAGTATCTCTAATGTCTCTAATCACATCTGTAATGTATTTTCCATTTTCCTATGCCATTTGTTTACCTTGAAAAAAATTAAACTAAGAAATCAGCACAAAGTAAGCAAAAAACATTTAGTTTAGTGAAATAGTTGTGAGAAAGTTTCTTAAAAGACAAATTATTTAACTTACAACCTTTCTTCTTTTTTCTTTTTATCTTTTTTTTGGGGGGGGGTTGGTAAGTTCTGAACTTTAACATAACTCTGCCCAGAAATAGATCTTTACCATTCTGTCATATAAAATAGAATAATTTCATTGTTATTTTCATGCTAGATTTCCTGCTTCTTTTGCTTCATGAAGTCACCAGATTTACTCACCTGGTGCCCAGTCTATCAGAAAAAGTCATTCATTTATGCTGCTAAATTTATGAGAAGTACACTAATGTTAATAGTTCTTTCTCTGTGTGGTAAAAAATGTATTGTCTCATAGAACTGCTGTTTCTGAATGGTGAAACTTATTTTTACCATTTTTTCCCCATATCACCTAGGGCCATTTCTGTGTGGAAAGAAATGGGTAATCATGTTTTTATTCTATCCTATCCAGGCACTGATTTAAGTAGGAGAAATGTAGCCATACTGTTTCACAACTGAGCTTAAGGTAAAAATCTATGTTAAGAGGAAAATTATCTTAAGCTCAATAGAGTGGTAAAATGATTTATGGACCAAGTTTTTCCCAGAGCAGACTGACATGGAAGGTGTACAACTGTACATATCTATATAGGCATGCCTGTAGTTATTTTTATTACTCCATGATGTATTTGTTGTGTATGATTTCTCCAAAGAAACTGTGTCAACAAATTGACGTATTGTAATATTTACCTTCCTGAACATTTTATCTCTTTCCAATGTCCTGTCTGCCTGAAACTCTAATAGCAGCTTTTAATGGTAATAACTGTACAAACACAAAAAGAAACAAACCCTCACACCCCAGATTTGGTTTTCAAGTGGTCTTTGGGTACCATGGTGTCACATGTTCCAACTACTAGTAAACACTAAGTTTTAAAGAGTTGATTTAATGTTTAAAAGTATTTTTTTCTGGACAGATATGTGTTTAGCTGTTTGTTGAAATATCAGGGTTCATATTCAAGATAATGTTAGTAAAATATTGTCAACCACAAGGTTTGATACCAGTGGCAAAATTAGTAAGAATGACTGAAATTGAGCATATGGATTGTTGCTCTATTTTTATTTGGTTTTTTTCAGTGTATCTTACAGTCTATTAGGATGTTCTTGATGACCAGAGCAGAGGAATTTAAAAGTGCAGCATCCTTGTAATGCCCTAGGTTTTGTGGATGACATTGGGTTACATAGCTTTGAATTCTTCTGCCAAAAATTGTACCAGTTTACATGCTGACAGATTTGTTTTTCTTGGATCTCAAAAGACTTCTTTTATGAGGGAGTGGTAGTAGGCTGCCTGCTGCTGACATTTTGGCAAGCCAGCTCCTATCACTGAAGGGCTTATACAGATTGCATAAAACAGTTAGCTTAGAGTGAACAGGCCTGAACTTTTTATCTTAGTCCAGGTGTTATACCATGAAAAAGGAGAACTTACTTTTCAATACTGATATTAATCATACAACGCATTAATTTATAAGCCTGTAACTACATGAATAAGAGTGAGCAAAACACTAACATACTCAGTAGCTACTGTTATTTATTACATCATAATATCTCTCATAAATATGAAACAGACTCAGCTCTCTATGAATTTAATTTATGTTTCAGATGAACAGTCCAGGAAATGCAAAGATAAGTTATTGGCATAATAACCTGGGCTTTACAAATGCTTCCGTGATTTTATTTTTAATACAATAATTTAATCCATCATAAAGTCTCTACTGCAGCTTTAGTTTTATTCATGATTCATCTCTGATAGTGATATTGTATGCAAAGTCCAAATTCAGATGTAGCTGTACATACAATCTTTCTCAGGAGATGATGTCAGTTATTACAAATCAGTAGGTTCAGAGTAAATCAATGTGTGAATAAACCTGGCAGAACAAGAAAAAATCAGACTTCATCATGTATTATCACAGGAGTGATAAACATGGTGTTGTATTTAATTTTATCATTATATCAATTCTTCTGTACAGATAAGTCTTATTTTGAAGTCTCAGACTGCTCCTTGCTTCTAGCATAACTCTCAGTGTAAGAGATGTATAGTACCACTTTTCCTCCTGTTGGATTTGTTTTTCTCCTTAAATATAAACAGTTTAGTTATGAGAGAACAGTGTGAATATTGTGACATTCAGAGAACACAATAAATCTGACTAATAGCTTCAAATAGTTGTATACACTGATGGGCTTGAGAGGGATTTTTTTGCTTTCTCTGAAGATTTTATTAGGGTCATGTTTTGACCAGCTTTAGCCCTTTTCTTTCCCTTTCACGGAGATGTTTTGAGGGGTTTTTGAGAGTTTGTTGAAGAATTTACCTGTTATGTATCCCATTCAGGGTTTAAGATCACTTTTTTCTAGGCACTATGCAAACATGTACAAAAAAGAGCATTCCTACTGAAGAGCTGACAAGCTGACTTTAAAATGAAAGGTGAGAGATGGTTTCTATAAACAGATGGTGATTATGAATAGCAGACAAGCAGTGATGATAACACACCAACTGCTCAATTCTGAAAGCTAAATATTTTCATCTTGTAGTAGGACTTCTCAAAATATTTATCTAGGCTATTTTATATATTTATGTAATATTTTTGGGAAAAAAAGCTTCCTTCTATTGTTGGAAAACCCACAGAAAGCTCCCTAATGGAAAGTATAGACTGCGGTTTTCCATCAGAATCTCTCCTATGTCATTCAGTTCAGGAAAGGCAGGTCCAACCCTCCAGAAGAAGTGCTTAGCAAACTTACATGTTTCTTGGAATCTTTCTGTGTCCGTAGTGCTTTGGGCTATCTGGGGGCAGACTCTTGGCACTGTGCTCGTGACAGAACTTTGTGAACAAACTGATGTACCTATTTTATTGCTATTTGGTCAGCAAACAAGCTCACTGATGCATTTAGGCCGTTATTCGGACTTACTGTTGATCTTCCTCATTAGACAGAAAAGAAAGTATGTGCTAC